GGCGTCACTTACCAGTTGCGGCGCTGGTGGAAATCAGAAGCGAAGTTCGCAGCCTTCGATGGAGAAGATGATTTCCAACGGCGGCGCAACCTCGTTTTATGGACTTGACGAAACACGCACCCGTGCACCTGACTACTGCGTGCGTGCCAGAGAGAGAGAGAGAGAACTACAAGCGTGTGTGTGTGTGTGTGTGTGTGTGTGTGTGTGTGTGAGAGAGAGAGAGAGAGAGAGAGAGAGAGAGAGAGAGAGAGAGAGAGAGAGAGGTTGTCATCGCGGTCGTCACGTGATGGACGACAGGTCATGTGATGCAATCACTACAGAGAGGATAGAAACCAACGCAACATGTTCACGGGATCTGCCGTCGTCGCGACCATCGCCGACAACAACAATATGATGACGACCGTCCGCGACGGACTTCTGCAACAGGTAGGCGACGGGGTAGTACAAGATAACGAAGAGGAAGGAGCCGGGCGGTTTGGGGGGGGGTGGAAGAGACAAAGCTAAGGGCGAGCCTCGATACAGTGAGGGGTTTTCCCACAGGCAAAGACCATTGCCATGACTATCTGAATGTGGACGTTGTAGTGGCGAGGTGCAGAAAACAGTGATTGATCTGCTTTTCTGCATCTTTGTGTGGCACACGTCCATATTCAGACAGTCATCCCAATGGTCCTTGCTAGCGGGATCCAGCCTGAACTGGATTTCTATCTGCGACGACGCTGCAACAACCGCGGCCCCTGGCAGGGATCCATCCGAAAATCCTTTCGCTTTTTTTGTTTTCGTTTTTTTTTTGCCCGTTCAAATTCCAAAAAAAAAAACATACACGAACAATCGCTGGGCCCGCGGGCAGGGACTGAGGAAAAGGGTAACCCTGTAGTCCGCTCGCCTACCGGTAGTCCGGACGCTGTTTCGCAAATTCGGCCTACCGGTAGGCGCAATTTCCTCCTGTCGGATAGAGTGCTGGTTTAATTGATTGATTGATTGATTGATTATCAATACCTGCACTCTATTATTATTAAATCAAGTTGCAAAAAAAAAAAATAAATTCTTTTCTCGTACTTTCATGGTTAATTAGGTTGTTAAAATTTTAGGTTTGTGACATTTCTCCATATCGCGCAATTAAGAAATCGCTAATTACGAGTAAACCTAATTACCGCTAATTAGGGTTAGTCCTAACCTAATCTAAATGACCTACCTAACCTATAGGAAGTAAGTGCCAGCCAGGCACCGCGCCAATCAAGGCTGATCGGGCCTGAGCAAGGCCATTTTCGAACTGCAACTTCACGGAACTTTCACTTTTGGCAAACTGCATCTTTTTTTGCGTTTGAAAGGTTGAATCTTTCCAGCAAATTGTGTATCTTCCTGCTACCTTTCATCTCTACTAAATGAGTGACCTCATGATGATGCTAAATTCTTCCGACGAAATTTTGTGAAAATCTTTGAAAGTTATGTTTAAATGTTTAAACTTGCTTAAACTTATTCATTTCTTTTATTGATGCAAATTTAAATATTCTTGATTAAATATTTAACGTTTGTGAAATTCATTATTGCAAATGTAAATATTCGTTAATCAAGTATTTACTATTTAATCTATTGCCGAAATTAAAATTTTATTAATTCCTATTTTACCAATTTTTACGATTAAAGTTTTATTTAATTTCCTAAAATTCAAAAATTTGTTGGGGGGGGAGTTTTTTTTTTTTTTTTCTCTCTTGATTAGTGTCAAGGTCAGGGGGGAACGGGACTGTCTGTGCATTGCTTGACCTGCCCTCCCTTCTTCCCACCCCTACTTTCTCTTTCCTCCTCTCGGTCCTACGGACTGCAGTCTTCGGCCATGTCAGCACAGTGACACGTCAGTAAAGTGCCACGTCAGCCGAGTGCCACGTCAGCAATATAACGTGCAGCCGGACACTAAATGCGCCGCAGCCAACGATTGGCAGAGCGTGAATCCAAGGCCGCCAAGCCCCAACAGGGACCCAAGGCACCGCAGATCCCGCAAAAGCAACGCACGGCCATGGCTGCAGCAGCCGGCTACGCCGACAGCAACATGCCAAGTCTCCAACAGTATACGGATTCCAATGCCACCGAACTCCGCACATGGGAGAAGTAGAATGACGCCCGACGGGAAGCCATCCGACTCCAACAAGAAGCGGAACAGGCAGCACGTCAGCAGGCCGCTGCCGACTCTGCAGCAGCCGCAAGGCAGCAGCAGCAGAAGCTCGAGGCAAGTCAGACTCAGGCTCGGTTCGAGGCTGCCATGAATCTTCTCAACGAAGAAGCCACATACGGCAGAGTACTTCGACAGCAGCACTTTCGGGCAACTGAGGAGCAAGACGAACCAACCGAGGACGAGAGAAACAGGGAAACTACAGCAGTCGTGATAGAGAACCTGCTGTACATGTGCAATTGGCAACGACGTGAACTGTTGGCTATGCGGCAGGTCCTCATCCGCCATGAAGGCAACTTCAAGGCAATGGATCAGAACATCACAGCCCTGCAGGCCGATACCGGCATGCTGCAGGCCGTCGACAGCCAACAGCAGGCCATCAACGACCGACTGCAGGACTCCGTCGATGCCGGGATGGCACGACTGTCCGCAGTCGAGTCAATGGGCGGTGCAGTTTCAGACAGCAGCCCAGTTTTGGCCGCCCAAGCCAAACAGCTCGATGAGCGGGTCAACCACTTGGTCACATCCCTCGGCGACATCAGCAAGTTTGCTGGAGCATTGACAGTCAGCAATCAGCTGCAGACGCTCAGCGACCGTGTTGACAAACGACCGGCCGCTGCGGCCAAGGAATGGAAGATGCGGAACTTCAAGATCGAGAAGTTCGACGATTACCATAAGACGGATCCGCTGCAATGGTGGATGGCGTTCAACGCGGAGGCCGACGTACATCATCCTCCGCCCCTACGGCGGATGGACGCATTGTACCTCCAACTTATAGGCGGGGKGCAAGCATTCATGACGCACATGGCCGTCATGCTCGAATGTACCATCGCCACCCTCCACACAAAGATCGCGTGGGAGGAGTTTGAAAAGAAGTGGAAGACCCGGTTCATGGTGAACAACGACAAGCGTCACGCCTTGAACAAGATCTTCCACATCTTCCAAGGCCAGCAACCTTTGCGGGAATGGCCGACGGAGTGTACCATCGCCACCCTCCACACAAAGATCGCGTGGGAGGAGTTTGAAAAGAAGTGGAAGACCCGGTTCATGGTGAACAATGACAAGCGTCACGCCTTGAACAAGATCTTCCACATCTTCCAAGGCCAGCAACCTTTGCGGGAATGGCCGACGGAGTGGCGAAGACTCGTCGCCACCCCGAAGTTGAACCTGCTGTTCGACTCAACCCAAGGCGAGTTCTTCGCCCGATCTTGCGACGCCTTGGCAGCTGCTCTCGACAGCGAATTCGAGGATAAGAACTTTGACGACATGATCGCCAAGGGTAGAGAACTTATCCAAGGTAACCGGTGTGCGGCCAATGAGACCTGCCAACAGCCCGGTTACGTGGAGAAAGGCAAGGGACAACGGACGCGGCAAGTAACAGCAGTCCAACAAGGAACAAGTGAGGACCATGCAGCCGCTTCTACATCAAGTGACGGAGATGTGGCGGTGTGGCGATACCACCGCAATGCGCAAGACCCCGAGGGGGAAAACAAAAGGCGAAACCAGCGTCGGCGGATGGAGCACGACAGGCACCATGAACGAAATTTGGCATTACCGAAGAAATGTTCAAGTTGCGACAGAAATGGTCATGCTGTTTGTGGTGCAACAACACCAAACACATCACCAGTGCCTGCTTCGACAAGGACAAGGAAAATGTCATACGTTCGGGCTCGGGAAACTGAGCACCGCGGGCAGTGCAACGACAACATTTCCCAGTTTGCCGGAGTCGGCTGCCTTGCTAGCAGCCTCTCTCACATTCAGGGACACAGCAGTAGTCGCAAGTTCTCGCGTTGAGTTTGAGAACTATGCTGTCGAGCTGGTCCCACCGTTGAACCAGCCTCTCCACGTGCACGACTCAAGCGTATGCGCGGCAGTTCCGCCGTCGGACAATGAACCGGTTGCTTCGCCAGCCCTTCTATCGGAGGACCCATCAACTTGGACGAGACTTGAGGATCTCGATCCGTTGATGGTTAAGGACTTCCAATGGTTGCCTCTTCCCTTCACCGGTTCTTTGCCAACTCCGCATTGCAATGCCTTAATGGCACATCTACGCGAATACTTGCACGCTGCAGTACCACCTCCGTCGACGGACGGCGGAGTAGCGGTTGTTGACCTTCGTAACTATCTTGCGAAGATCAACCGCGAGTACGCAACGCAACGGTACGTCGACAACGATGCGCCGCTCCTCTACATCCGCATTCAGATCGGAAAGGCAACCTGCAATGCCTTGATCGATTGTGGAGCGACTCGCAACTACATCAGCCAAGACTACATGGCACGCGTCGGGCTGGGCTCGCGCGTTCGAAGGAAAAGTCAGCCTACGCACGTCACGTTTGTCGATGGTCACACGCAAAAGTCAATCGACCGATGCGTTGACTTGGTGCCCGTGTACTTTGCCGCGCTAGCATGCGAGGCCGTGTCTTTCGACATATTGGACACCAAGTTCGATATGATCCTAGGCATGTCGTGGCTGCAAAGCGAAGACCATCCCGTGAACTTCCATCGACGCACCGTTCACGTTCGTGATCGGCACGGCGAACTAGTCCCGTGTACGGTGCCGCTTCCTCATCCTTCGATTGGTTGTCACGTGGTATCCGCGGCGAGCATTCGCCAATCCATTCGGCGCAACGACATCGAGGAGATGGGCATATGTTTTCTTCATGCCCTCCCACCCGGTGATCAGCCCAAGACGGATACGTCGGACCCACGCATCATTGAAGTTGTTGGACAGCTATGAGGATGTCTTTCAAGCTCCCGCCGGAGTCGTACCGGATCGGCCCATACGCCACGGGATCACTCTCGAGGACGGCGTCGTACCTCCGCGCGGATGTATCTACTGCATGAGCGAAGAGGAACTTCAAGTGCTTCGGGCACAACTAGACGACCTCTTAGCCAAGGGCTGGATTCGCCCTAGCTGTTCGCCATACGGTGCTCCCGTTCTCTTCGTCCGGAAGAAGAACAAGGACCTTCGTTTGTGCATCGATTATCGGAAACTTAACGCGCAAACAATCAAGAATGCCGGCCCTCTCCCTCGGATCGATGATCTTCTCGAGCGACTCGGCGGCGCCAAGTACTTCTCGAAGCTCGACCTCAAGTCCGGATATCATCAGATTGAGATCCAGCCAAGAGATCGGTACAAAACCGCTTTCAAGACGCGGTATGGGCATTTTGAGTGGATCGTCAAGGACAGACTCATTCTTGAACCTTTTCTTATCCTCTTTTGCCTTCATCTTCACTCCACACTCCATACTTTCCCTTACTTCCCCTTTATCGTTCTTTGTGTGTCTGCTCTCCATCTCTCCTCCCTGTGTTTATCCCCTCCCCCTTCGCTCTGCCTCTTTCTCGGTACACGGGGATGAGGGCAGCTCGCGCTCAACTTGATCCACGGGGATCTGGGCTGTTATGGTACACGGGGATGAGGGCAGCTCGCGCTCAACTTGATCAACATGGCGAGCCTTGTACGTGAGAGGCACGGTGAAAGGGGAGTCAAAAGAATGAGTAAAATGAATGGTTTCACTGTGCCCTTCATGTTTGTCTGCTTTTTTTTTTTTTTTTTTTTTTTTTTGTCGTTTGTTTCGTAAATTGCGCTCTTTTAGTTCATAGTTATGTGACAATATGTATATATATATTTCTGGGCGGTTCTTTGGCCCGCCCGGTTTACGTGGGCCCAACAGGCATGGCTGGTCCAGCTGGGCAAGTGGTCATGGGCCACTCTGGTGGCCTAGTTTTTTCAAAAGACCTGAAAGAATCCTGCTTCTCCGATTCTGGGGAGCATCAGTCTGGTTCCTGTTCCACCTGCAAGCCACAAAATTACAATCTGTTGCTCTCTGCTCGGGTTTTGTTTTTGTTTCCTCAGTGGACCACAGAGCAGATATTAAATTGATCAGACCGGATGCTACACTGTATCTTACTTAGCGAAAAAGTAGGAAGGTATTCTCACTAACTCACTCACTTATTTCTGTTGAAGTTAATAAGGTCGTTCATTGTTGACAATCTGATGGAAGATTAGAGCGTAGATTAAGTGTTTGGTCTCTTGAGGATGCCATGCAAGCAACATGGAAGTCTTATGACGTGCAGTGTGTTATGCAATCAGGCAAACCGGTTGGCGGAAATGCTGAATGCAGCAAAGGAAGAAAACTCCAAACTAAAGGAAGAGATGGAGGCAAAGATGGCGTTGCTTGTTCCTCAACGTGACAAGGCTGTTCGAGATCTGGCCAGGCTGAAGGAGCATCTTCTGGCCAAGGTATGTTCTCTTTCTCTCAATGACAGCTTTTTGCATAAGTGAAAAGGCTCAGCTGATTGCACCTTCTGAGAAAAATGCTTGACGTTTTCAAAGCTGGAAACCTGCTTAGGAACAGGAACTGCAGAGTGGTGTGCCCATATTGTGTGTCCTTCAGTTTACGATCCCCCCCCGCTCACACAATCTGAGTTGATGCTGTACAACTGTGCTTGTTACATGCATGTCTTCACGTGCCAGGGGCACGTGTATTTTTGCTTAAGCCATCAGTACGCCTGAGCCTCTTTTTCCTGATGCTGATGTCTGCTACACTCCAAGCTTTGTTGAACCATGGCGGGTGCAACATTGAAAGACTTCACTGCCAGCCATTTTGTTGTGGTGGGCAGAGCCCGAGAGGTTGCAGTGCATTTACGACTGGGAAAAGCACTTGTGGTATAATCTTTCTTCTTGGGGGAGAAACATGTGCTGGGCATTCTTCTGTTGGCGCTCATTATCTTCCGAACAGAAAGTGTTAACAACTCCAAACCTGTGGTCCTTTCCTAAAGTGCTCAATCATCATGAGAATGGAAGTGCTATTTCTTGTACTTCCCATTTAATGAGTCAGCCTTGCTTGTTGACCAATCTTTCGTATATTAAACCACCACTAGCACAGTGGGGGGAACTGGCGGAGTGGCAAAATTCGAAAATGCGTTGAATTACCCCCGTGATCTATTTCGTGGTTCAAATTATTTTATTTATTTTTAAATATTTTTTCTGTAAAGATCACGACAAAATGTACGGACCCTCCAATTTTCAGAGTTGTTGGGTCATCCTTCTGAT